ATTTTCTGTTGGTAGTGTTGTGAACTGGTCCAACCAATCTGGAAAACAGCTTGGAACTAGGCCCAAAGGGCTATCAGACCTTTAACCCAGCAGTAGTACTATGAGGTGTGTACCCCAGTGAGATCAAAGGAAAAAGGATAAAGAACCTATATGTACAAAAAATATTTATAGCAGCTTTTTTTGTAGTGGCAAAGCATTGGAAATTGAGGGGATACCACCCTACCCCAATATTCAGTTATATGCCATCTTGTCAATTTTACCAGCTCTGCTCTGGTGGTGGTTGGTTGGTTGTTATCTGTCCTTCCTTCTCAGAAAGAAGCAAAATGAGTCTGACTGTGGCTAATGAGACCAAAATAAGCTCGGAAGGCTCTACTGTAGTTTGGGCACAAATAGTCCATATCCACTGCTCATCTGTGTTATTACAATAAATTACTAATTAGAGTCTCAACTTTTAGTCTTTCCACTTTTTAATCCCTTTTCCACACAGTTGACAAATTTGTCTTTCTAAAACATATCATGTCAATCCCCTGATTAAGAAACCAATTTCCCCTAGAATAAAATACAAACTTCTCAAACTGCCATTTACAATCCCTCACAGTATGGCTCCATCCTGCTTTTCCAGATGTATTTGACCAGTCAGATTGGCCTACTTAGGATCACAGAATCACGAATTTAAATACTGGAAGGAGCTGTAGGGGCCATCTGATTCAACCCTTTTCATTTTGCAGATGAGGAAATGGAGAGATTGAGTGAGTGAGTGACTTGAGATTAAGTGACTTCCCTGTGGTCACCGTTAGTAAATGGAAGAGCCAGGATTTGGAACCAGGTCCTCTTTCCTAGCTCTTACTTCTACAACAAGCTACCTTCTTTGTTGCTTTCCCCCAAAATCAGAATTCTATTTTCCACCTCTATGCCTTTGGACAGGCTGTTCTCCATGTCTGAAATGTACTCTATCCTCACCTCTGCTTCTATTCACTAAGCTCTAGTGGGTCATCTTTAACTCTAGGATTAAATATAACTTCCTCTATTTGGCTTATAAAATCATTCACAACTTAGCCTCAATCTGTCTCTCCAGTTTTATAATATATTACTCTTCTTCCTGTACTGGACTGTCCTGTCAAACCATCCTTGTTGTTCCTCGTACACCTTACTCCATCTCTCATATCTGTGCTTTTATACTGGCTGTTTCTCATACCTCCTCTTCCTGACCTCCCCCTTTTAGAATCCTTTGTTTCTTTAGAAATTCTACTCATGAGCTATCTTCTGGTACCTACTTTTCCCCAATCCATCCAGGTGCCAAATGCTGTTTCCCATATAAAATTTATATGTATTCACACAGACACAGACACATATATATTTACACTTATTTATGTACATGTCTCTCCTGATAGAATGTAAGCTCCTTAAGGGCAGGGACATTTTTATTTTTGAGCTTGTATTTCAGCACCTTCCCAATGCAGACACATTGATTGATTGATTAGAATCTCTACCTTCAAGGCTGAGCTTGTAGGCTCCCTCCTAAAGGAATCTTTGCTCATCTCTTTAGCTTGTTAACCCTCTCTCCTCTCAGATAATCATGTATATCTATTTAGATATTTCATTCTCAAGCCACACCCCAAATAGTATTTAAGCTGTTACACACAAGGACTATTTTTTTTTGTTTTATCTTATCTTTGTTTCTTAAGCACCTAGCACAGTGCCTTGCACATAATAGGTGTTTAGTAAATGTTTGTTGGACTGAGCAATCCAAAGGGAAGGGAATCTGCATTAGACAAAACAAATTCTTTCTCTTTTCTTGGCTTAAAAATCAGTTTCCTGTGAGAGAAAAGAGCATATATAAGAAAATGCTTCTTAGTGAACATAGTGAACTAGAGAAGCATATATATTTCATCTTTCAATTTAATAAAGATGTATTGTGTATTCTGTGTTTAATTTGAGAGCCAATTGTGGTATAATTGATAGAGAATTAACCTTGGAGTCAGGAAAACCTAGGTTCAGGTCTAATATCAGACACATACCAGGTGACTCTGGTGATAGTTAACTTTTCAGTGCCCAAGCCATTGTCTAAGATTGTAAATCATGCAGAATAAGAAGAACTGCCTTGATAGAGGAAGTTCATCATTGCAAACTTCCTATACCAAAGAGATCACAAATCCAGTAATCAGTCCAAAATACACACACAGACACAGACACAGACACAGACACACACACACACACACACACACACACACACACACATTTGTGTATGTATATATGTGTGTGTGTGTGTGTGTATATATACACAGAGAGAGAGAGAGAACTAGACCAAAACATGGTTCCTGACCTACCAAAGGGGTTAGGGCTAGAAGAGAAAGTAGTACCATTCAGCTTAGTCAATAGGAAAAAGAGAGGATTGTGTTTATGGTAATTCACAATTAGTTTCTATACATAATACTTATTAAATCTCTGGATTACAACACTAGGCATATCTGTTTCTTCTATTGAAGGAGTCAAAGGAGGAATACAAGTTCTAATAATGATGACTCACATCTACATAGAGTTCTTTGTACATAAGCTCTACAGAACCCTAAAAGTGTAGTTTGGTCTCTTTCATTGAACAAGCTTATATCATTCAGATGATCAGTGATGAAAACCAGAACCCTAATTATCTATGGGTGGAGTAGAAATATATTGCTAGAGTCCCTAGGCAACTAGGTGACAGCAAAATGGAGAGGGAACCATTAAAAACAGCAACATTTACAAATTTAGATGGTTATAACAAGTTTTACCATTTCTGAAGGTGGATGTTATATTTCTCCTCTTCAAGGCAGGGATTGATTGTTTCATTTTTGTCCTTTTATCTCTAGTGCATACACAAAGTAGTCACTTAATAAATGATCATTGGATCAGATTGAATCTTGAACCTGGAATTGGTGATAATGATGATGCCCTTGCCTCATCTTGACAAGCTTGACTTTACCCAGAAAACATTTTCAACCTTGGACTACTGTGACAGAGTTTAGTTCCATGCTTGGAAGAACAACTCCAATGAAGTGAAATTGTGTGAAAAGTTGCTGAGTAATTGGTAGTTGCAGCCCTAAAAGTTCATACTTCTGTTTTTGAAGCCCCAACTCCAGAAAGGATCCTTCTTCCATTCTTTTGGCAGTTCCTTAATTAACCCCTGTAGAAGCCTAGTCTTAGAGCCTTAGCCAGACCTTTCCATTTATGAGACATGACAGTCTTCTTGCCTCTTCCGCCTGAAGTGCTGCAGAACCAACTCTCATGATGACATCAACAGATGCTTCCCAAATCAGCACTATCAAAGTCAGACTACGCTAGAGAGCAAGCAGGTCATTCCTCTGAGGACACTTCATCAGTTCATTCTAGGTACCCATTGACTGACCTGCAGATTCTTCTCAGGGGTCTGAATGAACGCTTGGTGATTGACTGATCATGGGGATTGGCCTTACCTGGCTCAAGTAGGGACTCCAGAACAAACCATGGTATGGCTCTCCCTTTGCCGCATGCTGCACACATGGGAAGCTGTCTCAGCTATGCCACCCAGTGCAGAGAAAGGCCTGATAACCTCCATTCTAAACCATCTGACTTCTTGGCAATGAGTCTTAAACATCAGTGTCAACCTTACTACAGGTTTTGTCAGGCATGAAAAAGGTACCTCCCTCAGTTTCAAAGGATTCAATTTCTCCCCACACAACAGAGAGAAGGCTATTCCTCCACCCTCTACTGATTTGCCTATTTGAAAAGGATCCAGGAAGCTAAGCCACCTGTTACTAGGCCCTACAGCAAAATAACTTTTCCCCCTGTGTGAGTCCTTGTTCTCACCAGTGAACAGCTTTGTGTTTCATGGAATTCCCAGAGGAGGTGCTCCCACACTTCCTAAAGGCAGGAAGGCTTTGTCTGCTGTGGCTGAAGGAAAACCTTTCTCCTGAAGGAGGTTGGTGTGGAGGTGAGGAGAAATGAGTTCAATCCCACTATTGTTACTTACTTACTTGTTAGACCTTAGAGAATTTATTCATCCCTTTATATGTCACATGAGCAGGTTGGATTAAATAATCACTAGGTCCCTTTGGGCCCTAAATTTCACAATTCACAACTATGCTTCTAAGTAAAAGTATGTCTGTTGGATGTACACCTGCTCCCAAATAGGTGGATGGAATCACTGTGACTCTCTGGATATTAAGATTTCCAGAAGGCATTTCTCCTGGAACTAGACCCTTGAAGGAGATCATTTCTATAACTATTTGACATAGTTACAATGTTGTCTTCAGTAAGCTAATAACTACTTTCAAGGGTCCTACCCTGGGTAACTGAGGTATCAAAGTCTTTTTTTCCCCCAGCAGATATGAATAGCTTACAAGAAGGCACACACAGAAGAATAGGTTTTAAAGGTACTGCTGAGACACCTACTGGCCCAATGTCCAGAAACTCTATCTCCTGGAAGTCCTGAGCAAGGAATGTTTTAGGTTGTAAGTACCTCAATGGAAACTCCACTTGATTTAAAATTAAGTTGTAAACCCCAACAATGCTGTCAGTCTACCTGAGCAAAATGCCATTCATACCACATAATCTCAGCAAAAAGGATTTTGCTTTCACTCCATTTTTGCTGTTTCCATCTCCAAATGTATGTCATGCACAGGCCTAGGGACTGAAGATGATTTGGGCCAAGGAAGGTCCTCACTCATGCCTCGGCCACACTCCCCAAATTTCAAGAGAGAAAATGAAAGGTCACATGACTCTCCCTGTTCCCTGACATAAAAACCTATCAGAGGAAAAAAGAATTCTCGTCGTCTTAGAAGAATCTTCTACCCAATTTCACCTGAGAAAATTTCAAAGCAAGTGGTAGCTAGAGCCAAAAGAATGAAAACAATATAGGAATACATACTTAAGATGTTATAGAGAAAGGACAATCTTAAGTTGTTTAATGGGTCACTTTGAATTGATCCAAATGGACATAGCAGAGGTCATTTAAGTAAAGCAAGGAGAAGAAAACTGGTTCTTACCTGTGTTTCTCTAATGATCCTATTTCTTTTATGGTTTCCACTTTGGGAGCCATTGCTCTGTTTCTGGTGATTGTGAAGTTTTCCATTACAGACAGTACCACCTCCTGGATTAGCCATTTGTTTAAATGAATGATCCTGTCAAATTTCTTTTTCCAGTTTCTCTGGGATCTTGGCTTTTGAAGTTAGTGAATGATGGGATAAAGTTTTGGGTTGAGCCCTAAAAGGAATCTTACTGGTCTATCAGGCTTTTCCAGAAGAGGAGTGACTGCCTATCTTTTTGCCAGATCTTTGAAACTAAAAACAAACTGTTACGTTTACACACCTCCAACCTCAGTAAGTCAGAATGCAGACTCCATAGCAACTAACCTGTTTCTAAAACCACTGCTCATGCTGGTTCCTAGTGTGAACAGAGGCAGCCAGCTCAGTCTACTGTAGCTTGTAGGCGAAATAAAAGTGGGCGGGCAGGGAGGTGGAGAGTCATTTAAAGACACAAGGCCTCTGAATCAGTCTGTTCAGAATTGTTGGCTCCCTCTCCTGGCCTTCCCCTCCCCACCTAATGTTTGCATTCGCAATATTATAGATTTAGAATTGAAAAATACTTTAGAGGTGAGGAAACTGAGACCCGGAGACTTGACCAAGGTTATGCAACTAATATGTGGGGAAATCAAAATTTGAACTATGGTCCTTGAATTCCAAATCTAGCTTTCTTCCCAGTTTTCTCTTCTCTGCCTCTGGTATAGGAGTTCTGTGATCCCTAACTCAAGCAAAACCTTCACATTAACATTTCTAGAATTGGTCAATTACAGTAACAAAAAAAAATCCTTCCTTTTTTAATATTGCATCTCTAATGGTTAAGGCTTGCATACCATTATAGCGATGGAATGATTTGTCTTTAATAAGGAAAAGACCTTAGAGATCATATAAGTCCAACACCCTCATTTTATAGATAAGTTAACTGAGGCTTGGTGGGGTAGAGCAACTTACCCAAGTATATAACAAACTAGACTAGAACCCAGGTCAATGATTTACATGTTGCTATTGATCTGAACAGTTTGAACCCACTGAACATTAAAGTCCACAGAGATAAGGAATTAAGAATAAGGAAACCGCCTGAGTTAATGTTCTTAGATAATTTGAGAAGCAAGTAATATAGTTTTAGCAATGGTTGTTGGGTCACATTAATCATTTGATTGAAGGTAAGTCATTTAGTCCTCTTTACCTCAGTTTCTCTGTCTGCAAAATAAGGGAACTGATTCTTAGCAAGTTTGCTTGGATCCCAGCCAACTTTATTTGCTCAGTGGTGTCCTAGTGGAGCAGAATGAGGTTAAAGTAAGTGTTCAGTTTTAGTGGACATCCTTGGAAGATTGAACTAGATTAGCAGAAGGGATCAGCTGGAATGAGGAGTCTGGTACAGAGAGGAAGAAAGGAAAGCAAAGATAAATGAAAAGAATGATCAAGCCTAGGTTATGCTGAGGAATCAATCCATATTTAAGTGAATATTTGAATCTGTAATAAGGGTAAATGATACCAGGGGACCAACATATAAAAACATTTGCATTTTGTGAAGAATGTGGTCTGGTGAAATTTTCAGAATACAGATGATTCCAGCTGAATGGATGTCTTCACTAGTAGGTTGAAATGACAATGGTATCAGGAAGAAAGATTAAAAACAGGAGGTATTTTTCAAAACAATGAGGGAAATATGACTTCTGGCTTACAATAAAACCTAAGTAAGAAATTTCCTGTGTTTGTTTCTGATGGCCTCACAAAAATGGAAATATATTCCTAAGTCCTGAATGTAACTGATACCCTTAGGGTAGTAAGTTTCCCTGTCTCCAATTGGGAATCTGAGTGTTGTGGTGGATCAAACACCTCCTGGATTTTTTTCCTATGCCACTGGAACATAAATCTTGGCAGGTGCCAACTAGAAAAGCTCCACCGACAATCCTTGTGATTGACTATACTTATCTCTTGTCCAGGGACTGATCTAATCAAGTACTGAGGCTCATCAGTCACCAGCAATGGACTACAAGTTAAGGATTGGTTTTTTGGAGGGGGAAGTGGGGGAGGTGGGAAATCACAAGGATCTATATTGCCATACTTGCATTTTATATGATAGAGATTAATAGGCACTGGTGAAAAATACTTTAGTAATTGCGGTGAAATTTCAACAAAATTATTATAGGGAGTGAAGTGTTAAACTCACTATGTGAAGCTGGAAATAAACATCCTTCTATTACTAATCCCCAAAGCCACTACACTTGAGGGTTTATTGTTGTTTATGCCTTAACTGTAAAATGAGGGGAAACTTAACCAGTTCCTCCAACTCCTTGGGCAAAACTCTCTTTTCCTTAGCACAGCTTTAAAGTTGGGCTTCAAAAAATGTATTAATGGGGACAGCTAGGTGGTGCAGTGATTAGAGCACCAGCCCTGAAGTCAGGAGGACCTGAATTCAAATGTGACCTCAGACCAAACACTTCACACTTTCTAGCTGTGTGACCCTGGGCAAGTCACTTAACCCCAGTTGCCTAAAAAAAATGTATTAATGATCTAGAAATGGATTAAAGTACAAAGGGTATAGGAGGTAAAATTGAGAGGCCTTCACAACAGATTTGATATGGAGAATGAGAGAGTAATGGGGATTCTGTTTTGGAAAGGTTGAGTTTAAGATCCTACTGGTACATCTATGTGGAGATGGCCAGTAGGCAGTTGGTGATTTAAAAGTAAAGTTCAGGAGAGAAGTAGAGAAGAATGTGTAAATTTAGGTATCGTGTTCATAGAGACAGTAATTGAACCCATGAGAGCTGATAAGCTCAGTAAGGGAGAAAGCATGGAGGGAAAAAAGAAGACAGTGGGAGAAGGGGTAGACCTGGGGCGGGGTTAGGGGTGGAAACTTTTAGGGATATCTACTTTTAAGGGATAAGAAATGAATGGTGAAATAGCAAAGGATCCTGGGCAGTAGTCAGATAGATAGGAAGAGAATAAAGAGAAAGTAGTTTCACAGAAGAGAGAGGAAAGGGTATCCAGATGGGGGAGGTGTTTGACAGTGTCGAAAAGTGCAGAAAAAGTCTAGGAGAATATGGTCTGAGAAAAGGCTATTAGGTTTAGCGATCATGTAAGGAGTGGGAAAGCCTTTTTCCAACTCAGTTGATATAATGACTGAAAACTGAGATTGGTAATGACAAGGTGTTAATGAAGCAGCTGCTAGTTCAGTGGATAGAGTGCTGGACCTGCAGTCAGGAAGATCTGAGTTCAAATCCAACTCAGGCACTTAATAGTTGTGTGACTCTACTCAAACTCACTTAACCGCAGTCTACTTCAGTTTCCTTAACTATAAAATTTAGATAATAATAGCACAGCACAGGTGTGAGGATCAAATGAGTTAATATTTGTAAAGATGGAGTAGGAGATTTCTTTCCCTCTTGCTTACCTTCCTAGCAGACATAATGACCTACAACTTAAACATATGGCAGAGGTGATTAAGGTGGGGCTGCCCAATTAGTCAGTCAAAAAATATTCATTATGCTCCTACTATATGCCAGGCCTTGTATTAAGGTCTGAAGATTGAAAGAAAGGCAAAAGACAAGGAGCTCACAGTCTGATAGAGAAGACCACATGCAAACAATTGTATGTGGAAAGCAGGATTTTACCTGGGACTTGAAGGATGCCAGAAGGCAGAGATGAAGAAAGACAGCATTACAGACTTGGGGGTCAGCTGGTGAAAATGTCTCAATTCAGGAGATGGAAGTATCTTGTTCAAGGACCAGCAAGAAGGCCAATTTCACTTGATCAGAGTATCTGGGAAGATATAAGGCATAAGAAAGTGTAGGAGAGAAGGTTAAAAACGGATGGAATGCCAAACAAGAGGATTTCATATTTGATCCTAGAGGTGATAAGGAGCCACTGGAATTTATTGACTAGACTGGTGACATGGTTAGACCTGGGCTTTAGGAAGATCACTTTGACAGCTCAATGGAGGATGGATTGGAGTGGAGAGAGACCTGTTGTAGGCAGACCAACTAGCAGGTTATTTCGGTATGCCAGGGATGAAGTGATCAGGGCCTATGATAGGATGGTGGAAGTGTCAGAAGAGAGAAGGGGGCACAGAAGAGATGTGACAAAGGTGAAATCAATGGGAAGTGACAACAGAATGGTTAAAGGGGCTAAGGTGATCACTGAGAGATTAGGAATTAAGGATGATCATTAGGTTGTAAGCCTAGGTGACTAAGAGGATAGTGGTACCCTCCACAATAAGAGGGAAGTTAGAAAAAGAGGAGAGTTTGTGGGGGGAAAGACAATGTGTTCAGTTTTGGACATGTTGAGTTAAAGATGCCTGTGGAGCAAACAGGTCTAGATGCCCAATAGGCAATTGGAAATGCAAGACTAGAGGTCAGCTAGATAAGTAGATGTGAGAATCATCAACATAGAGATGATAATTGAATCTATGGGAGCTGATGAGATAGTGAATTAGTATAGAGGGAGAAAGGGGCCCATGACAGAACCTTGTGGGACACTCATGCTTAGCAGGCATATTCTGACTGAAGATCTAGCAAAGAAGCAGCAGTCAAATAGACAGGAAGAGAACCAGGAGAGCAGTGTCACAGTTACCTAGTGAGAAGAGAATATTAAGAACATGAGAGTGATTAACAGTGTCAAAGCCTGTGTACAGCTTAAGAATAAAGATTGAGAAAGGGCCATTAGATCTGACAATTAAGAGATTGTAACTTTGGAGAGAATGAGTAGGCTGGAAGCCAGACTATGGATAAAAAGGGTTAAGGGTTAAGGGTAAGTATTAAATAGGGTTAAGAAGAGCATGAGAAGAAAGGAAATAGAGGCACCCATTGTAGATGGCTTTCTCAAGGAGTTTGTTCCCAAATTGAGGGAGAGATATGGAAATATAACAAGCAAGAATGGATGGTTCAAGTGAGGATGTTTTTGAGAATGGGAGAGACCTGGACATATTTGTAGGCAGTAAAGAAGTAGCTGCTAGGAAGGGAGAGATTGAAAATAAGTGAGACAGTAGGGAATGATAGGTGTGCTGAAGAAGATGGCATGGAATGGGCTCACCTGTGCATGTAATCTGCCTTGGTAAAGAGAAATGCTATCTCATCATGTGAGACAAGGGTAAAGACACAGATAATTGCAAAAGGCATCAGAGTAATGTGAGATGGAGAAGAGGGAGCTCTTGATTTTGCAGCATGAGGGCCCATTTCACATTATGTAACAAATTTGTAGTGGACTGAGTCAGCATGGTTTTGTGATTTTTCTCCAGTTTCATTTGGAGGGGCGAGTAGGATTTAAGGCAGCAGATGGTGGGAGTAATCCGGGGCTGAGACTTGACAGAATGAGCTAGGTGAGCCTGAGGCAGACACTGCTAGCTTCAAGTCATTGGCTGCCTCTTGCTTTATATTT